AGGATGAATTACTGCAACGTTTTCTACCCCAAAGGTTGCAAAAAGGTCATCTGTGGTCTGTGTTAGCTTTTCCCTCAGCTACAGAACAGAATCAGGCTACTGGTCTTCTAACATGATCTGTCCACGCTATCACAGTGACAGCTTGAAAATACAGAAGAGAAACAATAAACTTAATTTTGATAGAACCCTTGTGTTTATAATCTGAAGTCTTCTAAAGCATTCCACAGGATCTGTCAGCAGTCAGCTAATTGCAAATTTCTTGGTGTATAGAGCTGCCAGGTAGAAGATTCACCTGTGTCCCACAGAGGCAATAACAATTACAGACATGTAACTTGATATTACTCACAATGTGATCTTCTCTGAACTGTTAGTAACATGAGAACCTCTTTTCACTCCATTCAGAAGACGCTCCACCTTGAATCACTGCTACTCTAGATTAAAGGTAAATGAAAATGCATCTCTCTTTATCTGCAGCCCTCATCATTTAAGGGAGCAATTTAATTGCCCAAATGCAGGCACCTTAGAGCCCTGTATGATGTCCTAGACAAGGTAAGTCCCTAGTCCTACAGGAGAGGTACACTTTCCAGAGCAACAGAAGGGATGTCCTTTACACTCAGAATGACTCAATGAACATGGAGCTGAATCCAAGGCCCACTTCAGTGCCTCCGAATTCCAAGCTAAAAAAACAATTTCTCCAATAAAACATATCATCTGTTTAACCTGTGTTGGTTATTCTGGTTTAAACAGAATGATTTTACAAGTGTTAAATTCAAAGAGACTTTTTTTTTTCTTCCTTAAAAAAGGCAGCTCATTGGAAAAAGTTAGAAAAAAAATGCTCATCCAGAGGGGCATTTTTATTTTTGTCTTACAAGTGGAAACATGTGGTGCCAAATTCAGCTCCCAGTTACACAACTGGAGGCTGCAGTAACTGTGCTTACATCCAGGGAGACTGCTCCTGCCCTGTTTCTCAAGCTTGGGTTGGGATGTGATGCTCCACATCACAGCCTTTCCATTTAAGCACTGAGGCTGAAGAAGGGGCATCTATCCCTGGCGAGCAACACTTTTCCTTGTCTCCCCTGCATACAGCAGCACCAAAACTTGTATAAAATCCCATCAAAAGCCAGCCAAAAGCCAAGACCTTTCCACTTAAGAGTAAGACACTACTCTCCCCTCAAATTACACAAAAGTCTGCACGAACTTTGTGCAGCTAAAAATTAAGCCACTGCCTGTCTCCTGTAAAGAACCAACCCCTCATTTTCACTGGCATGCCCATTTCTTTGAGAAACGCAAAGAGGTCCTGGGGAATGGCTGCCACTCTCTCCCAGCAATGCTCTGGGAGCAGACTTTACCAGGCAATGCTGCCTAGCGCAGGGGAGGGATGGTGATATGAGCCCTTCATCACATAAATCAAATGTGATTCTTTTACCAAGTTCCTCAGCAGAGAAGATGCATGTTCAGATTTCTTCTCTGAACAATACAGTTAAGTGTTAAGAGGCCAGTTGTTTTGGCCTCAAAAATCCTCAATATTTTCTCTATAGTATGTGGTTAATCACTTTTTTTTTTTTTCTTCTTGCAATACAACTGAAGCAAATTGCTGCAGAGGGAAGAACATTTATTCCCATGAAGAAGAGAGATGAACATTTATATGAATAAAACTTCAAAAGCTACGTTGCATAAGACAAATTATATGGGTCCAAGATGTTCACACTTCAAGGCAGAGCCCAAGCACTAACCAGTACGTGTCAGAAAAACTTTTGAGGATCATTCTGAAAGCCTGGTTGCCCTTTCTCCCAAATGACCTTTACTATCTACACACCCCAACCTCTGAACAGCAATTGTCAATGAATGTTGCTATTTGTCCTCATGCTTCCTTATAAAACTACTATAAAGGGACTCCAACCACAGCCCTACAGAGACTGTGCATACATCAGAAGGTCTGTCAGCTCTTATTCTATAATAGCAATCGTACGTGCTGTACATTTTCAAATCATGTAGACCATTCATTTCATCCCTTATGGAAGCTCCACTGCAGCAATTCAAAACACGTACACAAACACATTCAACTGCTAGAGATTTATGGGTGCTTGAACAAACAAACCCAAAATGCAGTTCCTTTGTTTTAGCCTTATTATAAAACAAAACCTAAAACATATGCTACAAAAAATGTTCAGTGTGTCCTTCTACCTCATCAAACTATTTGAAGTTTGCATTTTGAAACTAAGCAGAAATGTATCTGTCATAAATTGTATTTTTAGAGCCTGGAATGGGCCATGACTATTGCACAGTACTCATCAGCACCTTGGTTTGCAGCTTGGCCCATCCTGGTTAAAAGCACAGCAAAAAAAAAATGTGTTGTGCTTTTTATTTGCACTCTTAACTGCTCAGACACCTTAGTACATTCTTTCTTAATCAGCAGTACAGTATTGAAAAGATCCAATGGGTCTGTTTTTTTTTTTTTCTTCATCCGAGACGCTTTGTCATCTTGGCTAAGTAAAGTACAATTGAAGACTCTGTGGAATAATGTTTTAAGTTACAGGATTAGAACCGACGTAATACAGAAATCTAAGGCTTTAAGGCTTTTACTTCATTCAAACTTCACATGGGTATTATCTCTACTATTTTTTTCTCCTTAGCTTATTGCCCAAGGTCCAATTGTGAAATAATGTAATGCAATAATTGGATGTCACAATGTCACAGAGCAGCTTTCCAAATGTTAGGCTGGACTTCTTGCCTGCCTGCTTTATTAAGTCTTACAGATACTTCTGTTTATTTTACCATTTTTCATACCATCTATATTATTGATATTGTTTTTGATATATAATCTAGTGTAGGTCTAGCCTAGAGCTATTTAACTCTGTAAATTGCTGAACCCTCCCGCTATTAATGTTTAATAGCATTACTGACTTAAATGGTACTGTATAGCCTCAATTATGTCTGTACTCGTTTCCTTTCAGTATATTACACTAGCCACTTTTTACACCTCACAAGTAATTAAATCCTTCATCAACCCTGAAATCATAGGATTGCACTATACAGAGCAGCTTCATTCCTAAGCCTTAAAACTTACAAGATGTCACCTTGATGAAGATTTATGTTAATTTTCTAAATGAATTTAAAAACTGGTTATTTTTTTTTGTTGTGGTCATATTCATCATAATTATCTTTCACATAAACTTCTGATCAAATATAACCCTTCCCTCCCCTATGTGTATCTTGAACTAATTCTAGTTGGTTAGATCAATAAGCAAAACACAATTTGATTTCAAATAATGCATTCTAGAATTAAAAGACAAATGAAAACAGATATTGTCTACTTAAAAATGGTCATTCCTTCTGGTTTGTTTTACAGTGCCTACCAGGATTTTTGCTTTCATGGCTCAGTGTATTTATTCCCTTGCAGTCCTTACTAATCAGTGAATTTCTCTCTTCAGTGTGAATTTTTCATATTGCAGCATGAATAAAACATTTCATATTTTTTAAGGATTTTTTTTAAAAAAAGATTCAAACTAGGAAGTCCAGCAATAATTTTAACATTCGGGACATTTTACCCCAAGGAAATAAGAGATAATATAACTTTTTTTCTTGATTGAAGCTGCAGTCTTAGTTTGTCATTTCCTATATATAAATCTTCAGCTTCCTCAAACTACTTGGTTATCTCCTAAAGCATTTCTTATTGATTGTATTATGTCAGTCACTGGAGGCTGATCTAAACAGTTTCAGTTCTTCTTTCAGTTCTTCTGAAAGATTTAGCTGTTATTGCTGTTCTGGATTTTTTTTAATGTAAGTGGAGTTTTAATAACTGACTAGCTTTTACAACATCCCTCTAGTAGCAGAGATGAGAAAGCATTTGGAAACAAAGACATTATTTTGTCTCATTAGTGTCATTACTTGCTTCTCTCTGACAAATTTGTGTGGTTAACTCCAGATAGTCAGCACAACTCCAAATCTGTCTGTGGCTCTGGATGTAATTTTCAAAGGAAAGAATAGAGGAAGGGAGCAGGAAATAGCTTTATTGCCATTTTGCAGCACAAAATGCAACCATTGTAAGTGATGTTAACACAGCAAATCTCAAAGTGATGTTCATAACTCATTAAGAATGAGCAGCTCCTGAATTACATCCTGAAGCTTTCCTGAAACAGCTTTAAGGTCCAGAATCACCATAAACAACTCTGACATTCCTGTGAAGGGCCTAGATTACAAGAACATTTATTTGTTTTAGGTCTTCTGTAGTCAGCGGAGATGAACAAGCTCCATAAGGGGGACGCCTCAGGCTACAGTAAAACCAGGCTTGAGTGACCGTTTTTAAAGCCTCTTCAGTTAGGATGCTGCTACTAACATAGGTAGGTGCAAAAGAGTCATGATGTTTAAATGCTGTGTCGTGTTAGCCGGTTGACTTACAAATTATGCATGGAAGCATGACTGTCTCCCAAAATAGACTGCAGATACAAAACTCCCATGAGATTATTCTGTTAATTGTTTTCTAAAATCAAAAGAACGTGCTCTTGTAACAGCAGCAAAATGCTAGAATAGGTAACACAGAGCTTCTCCCTGCTGTAACTCGGGAGAATACAAAAGGTGAAAGAGATGACAAAAAATTCTTAAGAAGAGAAGGAAAATCTTTTTGAAGGGAGCACACAGACCACACCATTCAAAAGTGAAGACACCAGTCAGTGAAAAAGCAGAGGCATGAAAACACTGCCTCTGCTGCAGGACAGAACTGATGATACGAATTTCAAAGAAAAGTTGTGTATTTTTCCTCTCTAAAGGATTTCCATCAGGCCTAATACTACAGGAAAAATGTGCTTTCCCTCACCAAAGGCAGGGCATTTATGAGTGTTCATGTCGCAGTATGCTGTAGTAACTCCCAGTTCCCAGGATCAGCCACAAAGACACTGTTTCACTTCATCCAGACTGGGAGATGAGCAATGTTTTTGCGGCACAAAGAATCTACCCTATCTAGATATTACCCAGTGAATTTATTATTATTCATACATTTATTTTCTGTACACTTTCTTACCTTATATTCTGAACTGAGGGATTTAATGTTTCATCCGGAACATTACTGGTTACAGCTCCCTGTCCTTCTGTGAGGGACTGCAATGGCTGCATTACGTGAACTGTCCGAAAAAGCTGAGTGGGATGTACTGGCTGCGGAGATTGCATTGTCCTCAAAACTTCTGAAGTCAAACCAGGTGTCTGCTGCTGTACAACTTCTACATGCTCCTTCAACTTAGCAGGCTTCGAGTCTCCTGTTTTTAGCACTGTGGTTGATCCTCCCCTTGTTCCCACGTTTGCAGAAGCTCTAGATCTGCTTGACTGGTTTCTATTGGCCACAGGAGTGGAGAGCAGACTTGGATCTGATGATTCAGTGCTAGGGCTCGCATCTTCATCATCTATATAGATGAGATCTTTTGGCATTTCTTTAAATTGATATACTAGGCGCTGACCTTCTACTTTAGCCAGTATTCCTCTTTGGTAATAGTATCTGTTTAAAGCATACACACACCAAGATACAGAGTGTTTTTTGAAAAAAATCAAACAAAACAAAGCACAACAAAACAAAACACGGCAACAGCTCCCCCAGAAAATAAGTCTAGCAGTAACAAGCGGAAACTTCAGTTTTAATATTTTAAAATGCCTAGTTTCTTCATTATAAAGGAGTGGACAATTTTATAGCATGTGTTTTCCTCAACTTTCTTTTACAGGTACTTCTTGTCACCTTTTAATTTCAACCTCTGATAATTCTGAGGAGAAAAAGAACTCCATGACTTGGTAGTTCTACTATCAACTCATACTCTTTAAAAGTTGCATGAAACTTGTAATTGTCCTCTTGACTCACACAGTTCTTTCAATTACTTGAATTCATGCTTATTCAGCAGTAAGCACAGGCAGACATTTTAGCTACAACAAAGGAAAGGCAACAGGACAAGAGAGCACTATTTCTGTTATATTTAAAAATTAATATGATAATTTGAAATGATGCACACTGAGGTGAGGGGTGAAGGGAAATTAAAATAAATGTATAGCTGCTCAGTAGGACAATTATCATCAGCAGTAAGATTGAAGCTTTTATCGCGTACACTTGTGGATGTCTGCTTATTTTGCAGTCTTTTCTGTATGAGAAAAATCCCAGCCTGATAGGTAGAGAGGCACATGATAAGATGTTTTAAAACTGTCTGTACACACCAAGTTCAGAGAAGTGCACCCAGACCTGAACTCTAAAAGTATATCTTCTACTGAAAATTAGATCATTTGCAACAAGAAGAAATAATGGAATTAATACGCCTGAATTTAATTTTTTTTTTTGAGAAAAGAGACTCAAATTTTATGTAAAAGGCTTGCCCCACCTGGAATCTTCATTCTCTTACTTTGCATGTGTCTGATTGTGAAAATGCAGTTTTTGCAGCAGCACTGAAAATGTCTGGGCTGAGACTGAAGGTGACTGATCTGGGATTGAGGTTACTAAGGGTTACTTTTAATTAGCTTATTTATTTTGCTGAAATAACCTCTTAATTTCCCAAACTGATAGAATACTAACTCTTTACTGTTGTTACACAAATTACATTACACATTTAATGCACACAAACACTAAGGCAACAAAACCAGTCTATTATTAAAAATGTACATACCTGAGAGCTCTCCCCATTGTTTCATAATTCATGTCAGGTTTGTTTTTGTGTTTTCCCCACAACCTGGACACAGCTTTGGAATCTACCAGTTTGAAAATGCCCTTCTCTCTTTGAGTCCATTTGATATATTTAGGACATGTAGCTTTGTCCTGGAGCAGTGCTAGTAAGAACTCCCAGAGATAAATTGTATTTCCTAAAATAAAAGTATTTCAAGACAGAGAAAAAAAAATATTAGTTGACCATATTTTATTGTTTATGTAAATAATCTAAAAATTAAGAAGCTGGTATCTTTACAAATACACTGTAATATATGATCAAGAAGAGGAAATAGAGATGGAAGGGCATGGGAAGGGATTCTTGTTAGTTATTACAGTCTGAGTGCCCAAACTCCCTAGCCACCTACAGTGTCAGGTACCAGTCAACCTACAGTCACCCTGTTCCAACCACCAACTTTAGACACCGATGTGTACACTTCCTTCCTGCCTAATCCAGTTACAGAAGCAATCATTATTGCTTCACCTCAAATAGGAACATGTTCAGGTCCAACCTCTGAAAATGCTGGAAATTAAGCCCTTGCTTAAATACTTTGCTGAATTGAGGTGACTGTTATAACCCTTTAAAAGGCTAAACAAAATAATTACTTTTAGCAATTAGATTTATATGGGGCAATCAGTGGCATATGCTGAAGTAGGCAAACCTTCAAGAATAAAGTTTAGAAAAAGATTTTTTTTCATAATCCAGTGAGTGATTGCACTTGCTGGTAGACAACATTCAAATTTAATTTTACAACCAAGCAGGCACAAACACTTATCACATCTGTTCGGTGTTTACCACATATAAAGAAACAGTATTAAAACAACAGATTGTGAATACTTAAAACTACTACAAAATTTGCATATTCTTTTTTTTCCAAAAGCACATTTAAGGCGTCTAAACTCATATAACTAATGAGACTCTTTTTTCCTGCTTTTTCAAGGCTTTTGGTGTCTGACATTCTTTTGGACGCTTGAAGCTGCACATAAGCTTCTTGTGATATGTTGTTAGTCTGAGAACGGAAGAAAAAACTTCCTGTATGAAAGCATCCACTCCCACAAGTAGCCATGCAAAAACACAGCAAGGACAGCGTACACAGATTTCTTAAATTTCAAAAAAATTATGCCCAGTGCACCAGAAGGTGACAGGATCTCTTTTGTCAGCTTCATGTTAACCTGTCAGTTTTTTCAACTTTAATAACCAACAGCCTGAACTTTTTTCAACAGGAGGTCTTACAAATTAAAACTCCCATACTACTGTATTATAATCTCTATTTTGCAAATATTCAGCAAAGTCATCAGCACAGGCAGTACAAAATGTTAACAGCTCCTTCAGCAGGTGGAAACCTGAAAAGTGAGCATCCCTAGAGCAAAAACACTGCCTTTGCAACAAATGCCTCCCATCTTACATAAAACAGTCAGCCTGTTTGCCTTCAGATACCGTGAAGGCAAAGGTTAAGACTGCTTAGGCAAGACACAATGTCAGCCAGGAGTGAGAGCATTCCCAGCCACTTACCATCTAATCCAGGGTGCTTTTGTTGTAGTCTAGACTAAAAATGCTCAGTTGCATCAAGGCAGTCTGAAAATTTGTCACTGCTTAGCCACTGAAGACCACTGTGAAGAGGACTGTGTGTATGTCTGCTTTACTCACAGGCAGAATTTTTAACCTCCTGTGAGTCACAGCAGAAGAAGAAATACATCAAAAACTCGGTTTTCTCCATACGTCGCAACAACTAATTACATGAAAGGCTTGGTATTTTGGCATACATGTTGCCATTAGGTGAATATTGTGGATACTGAGAGCCAAGCAACTCTCAAGATTTTCTGTCTGCTTCCCTGCCATGGCTGGTCATATTTATATCCCTCTTGCTTCAATTCTATGTTCCTCAAAATGCTACAAATGATTTTTGTGGTAGCTTTTTTTGTAACAAGCAGTGGTTTCAGGTAACATGCTCCTTTTAAATTCCTTCTCAATTAGCATTAACAATGGATAAATGTGAAATATGCTATATCCTCGCTACCATCAACAGAAACATTAGACTCTTTCGCCTTTTAATTTTGTGGCTAGCTGATTTAATATTTTCTATTATTTCATCTGAGCACTACTTGGAGGTACCTCTAATACATTTCCTTCATTTTTACTTAAAAATCAGGTTTTAATTAAAAAAAAAAAGCAGCAACAACACATATTCAAAAGTGCTGCCATTAACCTGTTAAATATTTATTGCTTGCCAACAGGTCTTTATTTCCTGTTATTGCAGAAAATCCCTCTTCAAAAGAAAAAAAACTACCCATGCTAACTTGTCAGTGTGGCAATTTTTCTGATTTCAAGAGAGTCTGACATTCTTATGTCACCACCTTCCAGGTTTGGCTGGGTTTCTCTCCTCGCAAGTATTGCGCACATGCAAGCACATCAGTCCCTCAGCAGCATGCATGCACGCACTTGTGGTGACACAGGGGAGGCTCATTTCCAGCTCCCGCTGAGCACAGCAGAACTCAGTGGGGGCCGGGGCATTAGGCTGCCATTCAAACGCCAGCCCAGGCAGGGGTGTGGGTGCTGGACCCAAAAGCAAAGCGACCAAGCTGTTGACAAAACTGACAGACGCTACTGAACAGCTCAGTCAGAAGGAAACTATTTATTTTATCAGTTATATGATACTTATTTTCTTTCTTCCTTTTGAACACTGGAGGAATGAAAGAAGTATCAAAATCCCAAATTTTCTGCCCAAGTCTTCAATCTGTGTTATAACTTTCCTCAAAATTTAGGGCTTGGTACTTCCTGCTGCCAACTGGCAGCCTTGATTAGCTCCTCATGCAGAATTAGACACACACAGATGGAAAACGTTTTCAAAGATCATCTGTAAAAATAACCACAGCCCAAGAAACTCTAATACAATGCAAAGCACTCCCCAAGACTTCACTCAAAACACAGCAGCCTCTGCGGGAGCTTGAAGAGTTTCCAAGAACCCTTGCTACTAAAGTGACAAATACGTTATTCTCCCTAGGAACTGGGTATTTCACGAAGAAATCTTGTGCACTAATTTTTCACTTGCCTTAAGATGAGATGTTAACTACCTCTGAGCATAGACTTGGTTTTACATCACAAGAAAATCAGTGAACATTTTCTTTTTACATCATAAATATTTTGTTTTTACAGGCCACTCAGCAACAATATTCTTTTAAAAAGTTCAGTGACAACTCTTTGACTCACCCTTTCCATCCTTGTTTTTCTTTTTCACAGATATGTTTGGAGTTGTAGTAGGGGACTCAGGACGAGATGGTTTCGGCTTCTTCCCTGAAATAAACCACCAGTAAGTCAAACTGCAGCTTTAAAAAAGGAAATAAAAAAGAACAAGGACCTAAAAAGGGAAGAGATTTGTTTCCCCACTTCAGAGAGAATTCAATTTCTAGTAAGTAAGGAGCTCAGTTCCATGCTGAACTTTTTCAATTTCTACAGCAGGGTTGGACCCCCTATGCTCTTAGTGTACTTCTAGTAAAAATTATGCTCCCTTTTCCATAGTCCATGTATCTTCGAAATTTCTGTTGCTTTTTAGGCACTCTTAAGAGCACTTCAAACAGGAGAGATGAGAAGAATAAGTTATTAACTCTGAGCAAGAATTTAAACAGGAAAAGCTAGATAAAATACAAAGCACTATCTTGTTCACTCATCACCAAAATGGAATTTAGGGATAGAACAAGATTATCTGCTTGTTTAATAGACTGCAAGTCTCCACTGCCAGCGGCAAACAATACCGCCATGTGAAGAGAATATTTTTCAGTCCTACTGCTTTTGCACCTTTCTGAACAATGGCTACAGGTAAATGAAAGTCACTTGTTTGTTTGTTAAGACCAGCAGAAACAGAAACAGGCTCTGAAAAAAACACCAGTTTTTAAAGTCATAACTATAGTGGCTTTATCTGGTGAGGAAGACTGAAAGGAAGAAGTTAGTTACAACCAATGACAAGAGTGAAGAGCATTCAGGTGAAAACAGCTTTTACAGGTAATGTAACTGATCAGAAACCTTCAGAACTTTCTTATGAAATAAAAACTTCACCTATCAGGTTTTGCAGTGACCCCTTAGAACACTGACGATACTTAAATTATTCACATACTACCTCTGCTCTTTTGAGAGGCAGAATAGACCCAGCAGACACAGGACTCGGAGAAACGTATTTCTGATCCAAATAACCTACTGTCATAATTAAAGGTCTGAAGAAAAAATATTTTTATTTTTCTCTATTTATTGCATTTCCAAAGAGTTTATGTTCCACAGAAGCAAGACCAATAGGCCTGTGCAATCCCGTGCACTATAACGTTCCACTTTTGGTTTTGTTTTTAGAGGCTGCTTTAGTAAAGAAACAGCTCTGCTGCAGAGTAAGACTGAGGGGTTTTCACCTGCTCTGAAAAAAAATGCTCAGTGCCAGCCTGTGCTGTCTGCTTTGTTCTAGACTTCCAGGTATCTACAAAGAAGCACCCTGGATTAGATGGCAAGTGGCTGGGAACGCTGGCTTGAGCACTCACCCCTTGACATTAGCAGTCTTGCTAAGTCCACCTTTGCATCTTTTTCTCTCTTTTTTTTTCTTTTTTTTTTTTTTTTTTTTTTTGATGGCATGGAGGAGGAGAGTGAGCTACTTGAGAAAGCCACAGTGAGGAAACTCCATTAATGCCTGGAGTCCTTTTATTTTCTTGCTTCTGTTCAGACAGGATTCATGACTGAAGATGGGACACAAAGTTCAGCCATCGTCTTGGCCAGTAGTGTCTTCCTTGACTTGAATTAAGATGGGAGGGAGAAATCCTGAAGTATTGTTTTTTTCATATGTCATCATATGAAAGGATAAAGAACTGCTGGAGTACATTTTTAGCAGATTTATTCCACTCACCATTACTGGTTGCAGAAATGTCTGTTTTCCCTAAAATGTCTAGATGAAGTCATCCTCTATGGATCAGCTTCTACTGAACAAGAAGTCCCTCAGTTGGCTAAGTGCTTTTCTCCCCTTAGAGTTGTGTCATGGGAAGACTCTGTTGGGTGCTCATCTCATCTCCCCTCTTGTGCAGTATCAATGTATGCCATTAAGGAGTGAGGAATTATTTTGATGTAATTCATTACCTTGTGTCCAAAATGAGATCAGATCTTAAAAGAAAATGAAGTGGATAAGGGCTCAATTAGGTCATAATTGAACTACTACTGGTCATTTTCAGGAAATATAAGTACTGATCACATATAATTTATGCACTTCTGATAAGGGATAACCTGGTCTACTAAATATGAATACTACTGCCACAGCAATTCTAGATAATCTTACCTCACCGTGGACTACTTCAAGACATCCTATATGGACAATCCTCTACCACAAACCCATCCAAAATTAGAAATCAGTGAAGAATGTGAAACTTGTTTACAGAAAAGTATTAAAGTTAGTGCTCTATCTCTGGGCTAGAGGTACTTAAAATTATGGTTTTAGGCTACACTGTGAGCTATAATCCCCAGGCACTGACTGATACCATCGAAAACACAGTTAACAAAGACACAAGATACGTTTCCTTTGTTTAAAATAAGATGTATTCTCAAAGCACATTAAGCATTAGCACGCTTCCTCCTTTGGTTCAACAGAGCATGAATTTGTTACCTTTCAGAGTACATCACTACATTCCTTTTTAGGAGAGAATTTTACAAAGAGGAAGTATGAAGAATGTGCAAAAGCTAAGCCTTGTGTGGGGCCACCATAATTTTGTATAGCTAATCGAGTTTATAACTGGTATTTCCACTTTCCTATTTGATGGTTGCAAGAACAGTTCAGGTTAGAAATTCATGCTACAAATTAACGTGATATTTAGAAAGTGAGATGCTCATCTTGATTAAATATTTTATACCACACCAGAAAAAATTCAATACATTTCTTGCACAGTTTTTTTGTTTAAAAATGTAAAAATACAATGAACACTATGTATCTAAAATATAATGTGTATATAACTGATGTGACCACCTACTGCCAGATACCTCCCATAGGAAAAATGGGACTGAAAGTGTTAGTATAGCAAATTTCCAAGTTTCTTTCTCTGACATCCCTTCATTCTTCTTGTCTTTCTGATCTGTAGTTCAGCAGCTCAGAGCACAGACATTCATGAGTACAAACATAATGCTGAAAATGGGTTTGGAGTTGAGCAGATGGGTGGATACAGCTATCCTGCTGCAGCAATAAGGCCCACAAGGAAAGGAAGTGAAACACCCCATCACTTCTGCTGAACATTTTCTTGGAGGAGCTCTACTTCGCAGTGCCATTCTGGCTCAGTTAGCTGGCAATGCTCTGCATGATGCAACCCTGTAAGTGTAGCTAATGGGTTATATATGCTAGAAGCCTATAAAATCATGAGTGGTATGGATAGGGCAGAACGATCACAGTCCTTTGCCATGCCACAAAACTGACCCACTTTAAAAAAGCCCCACACAACCAAAAGAACCCCATCCACACACTGTATGTCATCCTACAGCACACTACAAAATTATATTATTTTGCAGTAATTATTGTACACCCATGCCTTACAAATCCCTGGACATTCTGAAGTAACACTTCAGCATCACTCAGACCATACCATCTACCTCATGAAGTCTCAACTTCATTGAAAACTAGTGGTTAATGAAACACTACTTGTTGATGCATCTTTTCTAGTATTTTTTTCTATCTGATGTAACTGTCAAACCCAAACACATGCTTGCTGTGTAGCAACTGGTTTTCTAACCTACAGCTACAGAGGAGGAAGGAGTGGGAGTAAGCAGAAGCATAACATGAAAGAGGGTATGAAAGCATCAAACCAAAGAGGTTAAATGTCTGGCAGACAGCAGCTCCTTGTTTTGACCCACATAGCAGGCAACATTAAAAAAAAGAAGAAAAGACCAAAAACAAAGAAACAGTTTAAAATCCTCTTACGGTTGGTTATCTTGCAGTAGTGCACACAGCACGGTATTTTCCCCAGCAGCACTCTCAGGGCAGCTGCTGGTAAAGCTCTCCTCCACAGCGGTTTCAGTTCAGCTTTCTTACAGGAATTGAAGACTTCCTGACCCACACCCATCTCTACCAGACCTTGTGACACACACAAGGCTCTGGAGGTTTCCCCAAGATCTTCACATGCCAATATGCTCTCTCTCACAGATAACAACTCCCAACATTTGGAAGTAGCAGCAAATAAATG